AGAATTATTAATCTTACTTTTTCGGTCATATTTAATAATATATATATATATATATATATATTGTCGGGGTACGCGAGAGGCAAGTAACAGTATCCAAGATACCCTAAGTACTTTATCCTGTCAACGGTCGCAAACGTCAGGGTGTGTCTCTCTACATGGACACCACCCAGTAGTATTAGCGATAACTGTTACTCACTGTAGCCCTGCGGGTCTTCACTCAATCCTCGCGGCACCACTGTTCGCCAGGATAGTATCCCAGTCGATCCCCAGCCAGCCATATAGCCAAAGATGAGTGGGAACACAGTTTGCTCTCTCCCAACCGTGTGCCCGCCCCGACAAGGGCTCTACTACTAACTGCAAGGTCGCCAACTGGTGTTTCCCGTGTCCAGTAACACGTCAGTGGTATTGTGGAATTGTGGTACTAATGGCAGAGCTCACTCATTAAATCTGGTCTCAGGCAGGTATATGTCTCTAATACTCTCACTCTTTGGAACTGTTCTATAGCAACAAGATATATGGAGGGATAATATAAATGGAAAGGTATTTTGTATTTTACTTAAAAGCTCAAGGTATTATATCCGTATCAACAACGAAACATCAAGTACAATGCAGAAAGTCACTCTCTCTTCATAAAACTGGGGCTCATCTAGAGGGTAACACTCTCCCCCTCCTGTCAAAGTCAGCTGAGCAGGCCCCCCTCACCCGTGCGAATGCTTAGTACTTGTTTCTTTGGCGTGAAGCACCTGATTCTTTAAATTCGCAGGGATCACTATGTTTGTAATCAACACAATACTTCTATAATGGCAATAGAACGCAATGAATCACCACACTGATCTCAAGTTCAATAACTCCTTTCTACTGCAGTTAACATGATATTTCACTATAATGGCGTTACACTGTACTTAATGATAATAAATGCACTGTGCTTCATAATAATTACAATGAATGCAATTAACCACGGTACTGTCCTTAGATTCAGTAATTCCTCTCGATAACACAATTAATCACTGCACACATGGAAATGTTATTCATCACACCAACATATACATATACAGAGATAAATTCATCAATATCAATAATAATAAGATAAATACTTGGGCACACAGCCTAACACCAATAACTGGTACAGTTATATATATATTCTCTGACATAAGTTATCATATTAATGTCACATGAAAGAAATCATCAACGACACAGTCAACTCTTCAATAATTCCAGGTGCCTGCACACACCACATATATAAATATCGTGAGAGCTCTGTACAGCCTCACTCTGCACAACTGTGCCTTACTGTGACATAGGCATAGGTGAGCCTAGCTCATGACATGAAAGATACTCTGGCTAAATATATAGCTGACTAAAGGCGAATTGGGAGGGAAACTAGAATCACCTACTTCCACCTCACTGATGTGGACTCTCCCTCCGGTGAGAGTTGAATTGTAGCTCCTGGTCCCGGCTCTCGCCTCGTTGTAGGTAACGCCCCCACACACACACTGATGCGTTCTCCAGGAACCCAATCAACGTCCCAAAATAAACGTGTCATCACCGTGCTCCTAGTAAACAACACAGAAATCATCGATAGATACAGCGATAGCAGGCGGCTTGACGTCTGCGAGGCTCTACACATCAAGAAGTCATTACCAGCAATCAACAGCCAATTAATGCAAAACTATATTCTACCCACCTCAAGACTCCGCTCCAATATAGAAGCATCAAGAAATATGGACCAATAGGCTTTCTACAAATCACTTCCATTCAATACCCATTGTTTCGTGTTCTGTCTTGTGTTTAGGAATTTAATACCCTATTAATACCACCTCACCCCATCCACCTCACTCAAATGTAGATATAAACAAATCAAAGATGTGTAAGTTCTATTCAGTTGTGTATGTGTAAGCTAAAGTCTTTGAAAATGTAATAAGTTTTACGAAACGTGCTCAAGTGTCGCGTCAGAATAGAAATAAAAATGAATTTTGGAGAATTGATTTTTGAATTACCACCAACAGTGAAAAGAACCGTACGAAAGATCGAGAAAATTCGTGTTAGAATTATTAATCTTACTTTTTCGGTCATATTTAATAATATATGTCTACAGAAAAGACTGCTACAAGATATACTAATATATATATGTGTGTGTGTGTGTGTGTGTGTGTGGAAAAGCCACATGTGAAAAATAGAGAATGCTAAACGCGTTTCTGACTCAATTCGCCTTCATCAGAGCAAAAAAGAATACAGACGGAAACGTGGTAGGCAGACCTTATACCCGCCAGGGCAGGTGATCTGCCCTAGCGGGTAGGCCTGTGTGTAAATCACGAAAATTAACACGTAATGAACAATGTAACAGTGTCAGACCACGAAGGAAGGAGTAAGACTGGAATATCCTTAAGTTCTTTCGTATTTAATAAAACATCCTCAGAAGTATCTCTTAAACAGACCACCCTGGTCATAACATCTGTTTGGAGATATCAAGGATGAAAATTATTGGGTGTTGGTAGGACTTGTCTTGCGTGGCTAAGAGGCCAAATACTGTTCAGTCGTGTTTTTATACTATACAATTGTAACTAGGTCTTCCAAGTGTCATCCTTCAATCACCTGATGGTGATATTCGTGCCTTTGTCATGATTGTATTACAATACGAATAATAAGACTCATCAATATTTGGCCGTGATTGTTATCTATATCTGGCGATAACATTTTCTCACTGTTGATAACACCTTTGTAGTATTGACAGTGACAACAAGAAGGGAGGTGTTTTGACTATGGCAACGGCCACCCACTTCCCACCAGGTGACAAGCATCCAATTTGTTCCCTTCGTCCTATTATTTCCGTTTCAAGGAAAAAATCAGGGGCCATAGGCCGGCCGGTGGGAAAAGCAAAACAGTCGGCTTATGGCCCGGTTTATACTACTCACTGCCTGGTACTAATAGTAACTTGTTGCACAAGTACACTGCCTGGTACATTTAATAGTAACTTGGTATACAACACAAGTACACTCCCTGGTACTAGTAGTAACTTGGTGCACAACACAAGTACACTCCCTGGTACTAGTAGTAACTTGGTGCACAACACAAGTGCACTGCCTGGTATAGTTAGTGATGGTAGACAACGAAAGTACATTTCCAGGTACCCCGAGTAACTTGATACATAAGAGAAGTATATTGCCTGGTACCTCTAGTGATAGATCTACTAAACCCCTGTTGGGGTGATGGTGACCACCTTCCTCACCAAGTCATGTCATCACTCTCACTGCCCACTCTTGCCTCTCATTGAGTACATCCCTCCCGCCATACACTTATAAGTCCCGTTCTGGTCTCTGGAGAAAGATCCCGTGCTCTACCTGCACACCGCAGGCCCTTCCTGGGTCCTGGTGGGCGCATGCATAAACAAGTTGATGGCCTTAGCTATGCGTTCCTCCCATTGGTGCCCTATTTGCTAAGTTTAATATGGGTTTCGTCGAGCAAGAAGTCCTTGTTGACATGGGGCCTCAACCAGAGTGCACACTATAGACGTAGACGACATATCCCTGCAGGTACCTTTTATTAAGCCCCTGCTACAGCTTAAGGATGCATTCGAGGGACGTTTAATGATAAGATTCATTTACAAGATTTAGAGTATAGGTAAACTATATAGATGTATCAGTCCTAGATGTATCAGTCTCGGAAAGGAATAGTGACTTTCACACTGCAGTCTGCTCTAAGGGAACGAACATAGGAGTGTGCCTTAATGCTAAGAGTGAGTGCCCTGAGAGGTACAACCGGAGTGTTGTCAATGTCTACGTCAACCGCGCCCTCACACACAGCTCCAGTTGGAAGCTGGTTGACAAGCATCTCGGTATAGTAAGGTAGGTCCTAGTTAATAATGGATACTGTAACAGATATGTCGAACAGATCATTAAAAAGAAGGTGAAACCCCACACAACCCACAAGCCGGATTACACAACTGTTCATTGCCGGTCAATACTATTACAATATTCTGCAGGAACTTGTTCTCCACGCCCCATAAAACGGAAGAGAGGGGTCCTGAAAACATTATTGACAGAAGTGTGACCCTCTACCGACCCACCAACCACAAGATTGAACTAAAATTATACTGTAAGAGCAAGAAGACTGCCAACTTGTTCATGAAGAACTCTCCGGAATCCAAACAAAACCGCTTGAAAGAGACAAATTCCGTCTCTGACTTCACATGCCCACTTGGGGACTGTCAACACCAACCAACTCAATATGTAGGCTGTTCTTACGTATTAAATCAGCAGTCCTCTTTTTTGTAGTAAACTTAATTTACCAGATTTAGTGTAATTTAATGTAGTAGATTTACTTTTTAAGAACAGCCCCAGTAAATAATATAACCCTCACCAAAATGCAAACATGGTACACCAATTTACATGCCTCAGTGAAGGATGTCACCTTCTCTCTACTTACACTGGTATGACCACCACTGCCATCTACAAGCTGGTGCCCTTAGAAACTATATGCAAAGTGTACATAACACAACACACAGTAGGAACATACTAGTAAATAATTCAACAATCCTGGCATCCACCACTGCCCAAAGAAGACTGCAAATACTGGAAGCTATACTCATACAAGAAAAAAGACCCATCCTAAATATATAGAGTAACGACTTTATCGAATTCGTTATTTTATGGCTGCCATAAAAGTTATCAGTTACCAATGAAAGCTATGATACAACTGAACAGTTGATTTTTTTTACCATTGAAAAATTTAAATGTTATCATTGTCTTGGCAATATAAATTCAGCTGTTAGTTGATGCCAGTTTTACGGGCTATTCATGCCTGTGCCACCTTTAGGGTGGCTTAATCTTTATCAATCAATCAATCAATCGATACCAATTGAGCTGGCGAGCCATTCATTTCCAACTTCTTATCTAGGCAGAATAACCCACATGACCTAAGAAGTTCAGTATGTCGTGCTGTGGAAATTGGCGTCTCAGCTGGTGAGTTCCCAGGCAGCAGTGGATGGCGCATGTAACGACCACATAAAAGGAAGGTTGAGGTACCTCTACACAGCAGAAGGGACCACGCTGCCTGGGAGAGAAACATACCGGGTTAAGGGCACTAAAACACTGCATCACCTCCAGTAGAGATCAGCACCTGAAGACACAATGCTGACGGTATTGGTCCTGGTCATCAGTCTCCTGACACAGGCGAGGGCAGGTGAGTACAGCAGCGGTCTCGGGACACTATACTGCTACAGTAATTGTATTACTGAAGTAATGAAGGTACTTAACCTGCATGTAAAAGGAATTCTAATTATTTAAGTTAAAATACTGACCAAAGTCTTCAAACATGACACCCTATCCTCCTCACCCTCACACACCACACCCTACCCTCCACACCCCTCACACACCACACCCTACCCTCCACACCCTCACACACCACACCCTAGCATACCACACCCTACCCTCTACACCCTCACACACCACACCCTATCCTCCTCACCCTCACACACCACACCCTACCCTCCACACCACACCCTCACACACCACACCCTACCCTCCACACCCTCACACACCACACCCTCGCACACCACACCCTACCCTCCACATCCTCACACACCACACCCTACCCTCCACATCCTCACACACCACACCCTACCCTCCACACCCTCACACACCACACCCTCGCACACCACACCCTACCCTCCACACCCTACCCTCCACACCCTCACACACCACACCCTACCCTCCACATCCTCACACACCACACCCTACCCTCCACACCCTCACACACCACACCCTCGCACACCACACCCTACCCTCCACACCCTCACACACCACACCCTCACACACCACTCCCTACCCTCCACACCCTCACACACCACACCCTACCCTCCACACCCTCACACACCACACCCTCACACACCACTCCCTACCCTCCACACCCTCACACACCACACCCTACCCTCCACACCCTCACACACCACACCCTCACACACCACACCCTACCCTCCACACCCTCACACACCACACCCTACCCACCACACCCTCACACACCACACCCTACCCTCCACACCCTCACACACCACACCCTCGCACACCACACCCTACCCTCCACATCCTCACACACCACACCCTACCCTCCACATCCTCACACACCACACCCTACTCTCAACACCCTCACACACCACTCCCTACCCTCCACACCCTCACACACCACACCCTACCCTCCACACCCTCACACACCACACCCTACCCTCCACACCCTCACACACCACACCCTACCCTCCACATCCTCACACACCACACCCTGCCCTCCACACCCTCACACACCACACCCTACCCTCCACACCCTCACACACCACACCCTACCCTCCACACCCTCACACACCACACCTTATCCTCCTCACCCTCACACACCACACCCTACCCTCCACACCCCTCACACACCACACCCTCGCACACCACACCCTCACACACCACACCCTACCCTCCACATCTTCACACACCACACCCTACCCTCCACACCCTCACACACCACACCCTACCCTCCACACCCTCACACACCACACCCTACCCTCCACACCCTCACACACCACACCCTCACATACCACACCCTACCCTCTACACCCTCACACACCACTCCCTACCCTCCACACCCTCACACACCACACCCTACCCTCCACACCCTCACACACCACACCCTACCCTCCACACCCTCACACACCACACCCTCACATACCACACCCTACCCTCCACACCCTCACACACCACACCCTCACACACCACACCCTACCCTCCACACCCTACCCTCCACACCCTCACACACCACACCCTCACACACCACACCCTACCCTCCACACCCTCACACACCACACCCTACCCTCCACACTCTCACACACCACACCCTACTCTCAACACCCTCACACACCACACCCTACCCTCCACACCCTCACACACCACACCCTACCCTCCACACCCTCACACACCACACCCTACTCTCAACACCCTCACACACCACACCCTCACACACCACACCCTCACACACCACACCCTACCCTCCACACCCTACCCTCCACACCCTCACACACCACACCCTCGCACCACACCCTACCCTCCACACCCTCACACACCACACCCTACCCTCCACACCCTCACACACCACACCCTACCCTCCACACCCTCACACACCACACCCTCACACACCACACCCTCACACACCACACCCTCACACACCACACCCTCGCACACCACACCCTACCCTCCACACCCTAACACACCACACCCTACCCTCCACACCCTCACACACCACACCCTACCCTCCACACCCTCACACACCACACCCTACCCTCCACACCCTCACACACCACACCCTACCCTCCACACCCTCACACACCACTCCCTACTCTCAACACCCTCACACACCACACCCTACCCTCCACACCCTCACACACCACACCCTACCCTCCACACCCTCACACACCACACCCTACCCTCCACACCACACCCTCGCACACCACACCCTACCCTCCACACCCTCACACACCACACCCTACCCTCCACACCCTCACACACCACACCCTACCCTCCACACCATCACACCCTACCCTCCACACCCTACCCTCCACACCCTACCCTCCACACCCTCACACACCACACCCTAAACTCCACACCACACCCTACCCTCCACACCACACCCTATCCTCCACACCCTCACACACCACACCCTACCCTCCACACCCTACCCTCCACACCATCACACACCACACCCTACCCTCCACACCCTCACACACCACACCCTACCCTCCACACCATCACACACCACACCCTACCCTCCACACCCTCACACACCACACCCTCACACACCACACCCTACCCTCCACACCCTCACACACCACACCCTACCCTCCACACCACACCCTACCCTTCACCAGGCAACAAAAATAAGGCAAGAAAGAGAAGGGTGGGCAGACTGCATATTTTTGGATTGTCAGAAAGCCTTTGACACAGTGCCACACAAGAGGTTAGTGAAAAAACTGGAGATGCAGGCTGGAGTGAAAGGGAAGGTACTCCGTTGGATACAGGAGTACCTAAGTAACAGGAGACAACGAGTCAGTGTGAGGGGTGAGGTCTCAGATTGGCGAGACGTTACGAGTGGAGTACCGCAGGGGTCAGTCCTTGGACCTATACTGTTTCTGATATATGTAAATGATCTTCCAGAGGGTATAGAATCGTTTCTCTCAATGTTTGCCGATGATGCAAAAATTATGAGGAGGATTGAAACTGAGGACGATAGTAGGAGGCTACAAGATGACCTAGACAGACTGAGTGAATGGTCCAACAAATGGCTGTTGAAGTTCAACCCGAGTAAATGCAAAGTAATGAAACTAGGTGGTGGAAATAGGAGGCCAAACACAGGATACAGAATAGGAGATGAAGTACTTAATGAAACGAACAGAGAGAAAGATCTAGGAGTTGATATCACACCAAACCTGTCTCCTGAAGCCCACATAAAAAGAATAACGTCTGCGGCATATGCGAGGCTGGCTAACATCAGAACAGCGTTCAGGAACCTGTGTAAGGAATCATTCAGAATCTTGTACACCACATATGTAAGACCAATCCTGGAGTATGCGGCCCCAGCATGGAGCCCGTACCTTGTCAAGCACAAGACGAAGCTGGAAAAAGTCCAAAGGTATGCCACTAGACTAGTCCCAGAACTAAGAGGCATGAGTTACGAGGAAAGGCTGCGGGAAATGCACCTTACGACACTGGAAGACAGAAGAGTAAGGGGAGACATGATCACAACCTACAAAATCCTCAGAGGAATCGACCGGGTAAACAAAGATAAACTATTCAACACTGGTGGGACGCGAACAAGGGGACACAGGTGGAAACTGAGTACTCACATGAGCCACAGAGACGTTAGAAGGAACTTTTTTAGTGTCAGAGTAGTTAACGGATGGAATGCATTAGGCAGTGATGTGGTGGAGGCTGACTCCATACACAGTTTTAAATGTAGATATGATAGAGCCCAGTAGGCTCAGGAATCTGTACACCAGTTGATTGACAGTTGAGAGGCGGGACCAAAGAGCCAAAGCTCAACCCCCGCAAGCACAAATAGGTGAGTACAAATAGGTGAGGTGAGTACACCACACCCTACCCTCCTCACCATCACACCCTAACCTCCCTCAACAAAATTTTGTATGTATGAATGTATTCACCTAGTTGTGCTTGCGGGGGTTGAGCTCTGCTCTTTCGGTCCGCCTCTCAACTGTCAAAATCAACTGTTACTAACGATTATTTTTTTCCACACCACACACACACACCAGGAAGCAGCCCGTGACAGCTGACTAACTCCCAGGTACCTATTTACTGCTAGGTAACAAGAACATTAGGGTGAAAGATGCTCTGCCCATTGTTTCTCGCTGGCGCCCGGGATCGAACCCTGGACCACAGGATCACACGTCCAGCGTGCTGTTCGCTCAGCCACCGTGTGTACGTATGTATGTACTGCTTGGGAAAACCTCACAAATCCAACCCCAAATATCATCCTGCTTGGGGACATCTGTGAGATTTTTTTCTACGCCAACCTCCCTTAGGAGGTGGACTACAAGTTTAAAGGCTGCTCACGGCAGTTAAGCATGAGTCCAATAGAAAAAGGAAAAGCGGGAGCAAACCGCCAGGCCTCCACCACCAGGGGTGAAAACCTGTCCACAATAGGCCGCTGGCTCCTCCTAGTTAAACAGGACGTTAAAACTAATAAAGAGTAACCGACGGGTTCTCACAATCAAATATTTATATTTGATGTGGCGCTATGAATTGGAATTCGAATTCCCAATGACAGCCGTCATATCAAAAGATTACATCAACATTCAATCGTATAAAGCAGAACATGGGTGGAAAAGAATGGTTGAAGGGTTGACATCAAAGACCGTTTTCTATAACATAACAATTTATTAATAACAAGAGACTAAACTACTACATTACCGAGTTTACGTTACGTTAATGTCCATCAAGTGGCACGATAACAAACAGCTAAATAGCAACCCTTGCTGTGCGGCTGCATACTGAACTAACCTGAACACAGGTGTGCCCACTGATGACGCAATATTGCAAATCTAAAAAAAATATCACAGACTAAGTTACTCCACAGCGAGTGGTTACGTTATTGTCCATCCAGTGGCAATTGCAACACAGCTATTCAACAGCCCCTCG